ATTGCTTTCTAGTATTAGGATTTCTATTATTGCAAGATTTAGGAGATCTAGATCTAGTAGGCTTAGATTTATTTTGCACCTATAAATACCCCATGTACCTCATCATTATTAGACATGTTGAATTGAGTATTGAATTGGTGAGCCCATTGAGAGGGGAACTTATGTTCTTATGTGTGTTTAAACACGGCCGTTAGTGCGTGTTTACATACAGTGTCGGGGAGAAGGCCATTAGAGCGTCTTGAAGTCACGGTGTCTAGGAGAAGGCCGTAGTGTGTCTGTTAGATACACCTATCGTGGATAAACGAAGGCCATGAGTGCACGTTTATTCACAACCCGGAAATAGATAAAAACACGGTCCGTCATCATTGGTGCTCTCGTTGAGAGGTGCTTATCGTGTTTTTATCTATCTATCTTTTTCTTTTTTTTTTCGGTTTGCCTTTTGCTCAGGGACCGAATTTCTTTTTTTTTGGTCGAAATTTTCGAATTTAATTACTCGAATTTTTCAAATTTTTTTTCGTGTCTTAAAAAAAAAGTGTCATCTTGTTAGTCCTTTGTTTGATTTTTTTTTGTTCGGTTATTACCTTTTGTTGAGGGGCCGAATTTCTCTTTGTTTTATTTTTACTTTGGTTCGACTTTGGTTCGAATTTATAGAGTCTTAAAAAAAAAGAGATTTATGATGTCAAATCGTGAGAGAATTCAAGCGTTGGAAGACAACATGAAGATCATTGGCGATGGTCAACATGCTACCAACGAGAACTTGGGAAGAATTGTGCTGATGGTCCAGGACTTGGCCGGGCAGCTTACGCGCATGAACACACGGCCAAGAAGGCGTCACGGGTCAGGGTCCACGGCAACAAGTACCGTGACCGATCACGAGGACGATCGCCGATCGAGGGGCACACACGCATCGCGTGCGGACAACTACCACGACGATCGGCGACGGCATGACGGGCGCGCACATCATGACCGAAGGCGCGAGGAAGACGACGACTGGCCATCGCACGCAACGTACACGTCGCATGAGACACACGACGAGCGAAGGCCACACCGCAATGACCGACGAAGCGACGAACGACGGCACGAGGGACGTGTCCGACACCACGATCGCGATGAACAATTAGATGAAAAGGCAAGTACACGGCCAAAAATTGTCATGCCCATGTTCACGGGGACAGATCCAGATGCATGGTTGAGTCAAGCTGGGCAATGTTTTGAGATCAATGATGTGCCAAGGTACGAAAGAGTTCAAATTGCTGCTTATCATCTTGATGGAGAAGCAAACGTATGGTGGCAATGAGTTTTGCACAAGAACCGTGGTGAGCACATGCGTTGGAGGGATTTTGAAAGGGAGCTCATCACGAGGTTTGTCTCGAATGACTACCACTATTACAATGAAGCTTTGTCTAGAATTAAGCAAGTTGGTAGCCTAAGGGAGTATCAAAAGGAGTTCGAGCGCATTGCTAGTAGAGTGCGGGATTGGCCCGAGAGTGCACTAGTAGGAACGTTTGTTGGAGGACTTAAGGCTGAGTTAGAAGTAGAGGTAAGATTGGATAGGCCAGGATCGATGCGAACAACCATGGAGTCGGCGAGACTACATGAGGATCATCTGATGGCAGTACGCAAGGCCAGGCCGAGCAACGTGCGCACAGTGACCAAGCGCATGCACGCCGCGACTGAGGAACCAGCGGCGAGAACCGAGAACAAGCCGTTGGGTGAAGCTGTTCGAACAACGAGCAACATACGGCGGTTGACTGATGAAGAGATGCAGCGACGACGAGAAAAAGGCCTTTGCTATTCGTGCAATGAAAAATTCACACCAGGCCACAAGTGCAAGGGTAAGGAAGTATTTTTGTTAGAAATTGGGGAGGATTGCAGGGAGGAAAAACCACAGGAGGAGTCCTTGTTGCATATGGTTAAGAGCAAGAAACGTGGTCCAAAGATGATCACATTCAAGGCTGAAATTAGGGGCAAATTTGTGGAAGTATTGGTTGATAGTGGGTCTACGCTAAACTGCATATATGAGGAGCTGTCCAAAGAAATTGAGATTCCATTCACCAAGGTAAAACCTTTTGGAGTCAAAGTAGCAAACGGAACACTCCGAGGGGATATTCTCTTCAAGGGTGTAAAAATGGAGGCTCAAGGTCAAAGTATGAGAGTGGATCTATATGCCTTGCCATTGAAGGCGACTGATATGGTGCTTGGATGCCAGTGGTTGGAGACTCTTGGTCCAATCACTACTGATTATTGGAAAGAAACTATGGAGTTTAGAAGATCGAGTAAGAGGGTCAAGTTGAGGACTGAGGATCCAGGCGAGTCACCTGACGAGGATGAAGAGGATGGTCGAGTTCAGAAGCTGAATTTTCTTATCCTTGGGGACAAGGCAATTCTTGAAGAGGAGGGGAATGATACAAAAGTGGGTATCGACACCCTTGGATCGAATAGGGTTGAGAGGCTAATGGGCAAAAAGGGCGCATCGAAGGGTGATGCGCAAGCGACGATCGGGTGTGAACGTGCACGGGGCGCAAGCGCGGGCGTTAACCAGACGCACAGGGTGATAGGCGACAGCCTAGTCCGCTAAGGCATAGGAGTGATGGGCGCGCGAAGGGACGCGCGTAAGGCAGCGGGCAGGGACGTGAAGAGCACGACGGCGGCGAGTGGAAGGCACACACGGGCGCATGCCTAGACGCAGAAGGAGTAGGCGCGATAAGGGCATTAGGCTGGGACGCGCCAGCCAGGACGCGCAAGCAGGCAGCGCGCGCGTGGAGGGACGGACGCCAGCAAATCCGCGGCCCGCGAGGATTAGGCAAGAGAGGCATGCACGACGCGGGACACGCGCGAGAGGCGGCCGAATAGTTTGGGACGTGTGAGAGTTTGGAAGTTCTAGAATTGCTTGGTGTGCAAGCCAAGCATTAGTATTTTGCTAGTAGTAGGATTTTATTGCTTTCTAGTATTAGGATTTCTATTATTACAAGATTTAAGAGATCTAGATCTTGTAGGCTTAGATTTATTTTGCACCTATAAATACCCCATGTACCTCATCATTATTAGACATGTTGAATTGAGTATTGAATTGGTGAGCCAATTGAGAGGGGAACTTATGTTCTTACGTGTGTTTAAACAAGGCCGTTAGTGCGTGTTTACATACAGTGTCGTAGAGAAGGCCATTAGAGCGTCTTGAAGTCGGTGTCTAGGAGAATGCCGTAGTGCGTCTGTTAGATACACCTATCGTGGATAAACGAAGGCCCTGAGTGCACGTTTATTCACAACCCAGAAATAGATAAAAACACGGTACATCATCACGCGGGCAGTGCGCGGGCTGCGCGCGGTGATGCGGACATGGCAAGAAGACTCAAGAACACAGCGAGTCACGCGTGGCATGCGCGAAGGAGGCTAAGTGGCCGTGCCGGCGAGGCGCGATACGCGGACGGACGCGCGTGCGTAGAAGACGACGCGGGAGATACTGTCGGGGACGAGCGCGGGTTTGAACGCACAGGCGATGGGGTGCACGCGCGTACTTGCCTAGGCGCGTGAGAATTAGGCGAGCTGCTGGACGCATGCGCGGGAAATGAAGATGAAGACCTAGTCTTTAGGCGATTAGGGAACACGGACTCGGGGCAACGCGGCAAGAGTTGCACGCAAGAATACTCTAGATAGTTTGGTTAATATTTTATTTCCTTGTTTTCTAGTTTGTTTAGGACACTTTATATTTTATTGCTTTTCTAGAGTAAGTAGTTTAGTCTAAGTAGATTAGGACTAGATCCTTATCTTGAGCCTTATAAATAGGTGTGTCTTGTTCTAAAATAGTTATATTGATTCTTCTTGATACAAAAACCGAACTTTGTTCTAATCTCTTGCTTTAGTTTACGTTAAGTGTTCTATTGCAAATTATCGTTCGAAGGGGCGCGAATGTGTGAACCTCCAAGCACAGTATCAGTGATTTAAGGCGCGGGAGCAGCATGTCGGCAATCGAGACACATGGTCTTCATCATTGGTGCTTTCATTGAGAGGGTCGATCGGGTGTCTTTCCTTTCCCATTCTCTTTTAATTTTTCTTTCTTAATTTTTGTTCGTTCAAAAAAAATAAATCAAAATTAGTCTGGGAAGTCGGGAACGTAGGCAAGCCAGAAAAGATATGGCCAATCGAGAGTTGAAAGAAAGAGTTGAAGGTTTGGAAGGCCATTTCAAGGCCATAAGCGAAAGCATGGAGGGTCGGTTTGGATCGCTCGACGTGGGACAGACCAGCACCAATACTGTCGTGGCACGTCTCGAGCAGCGCCTGGAGGAGGTGTTGCGTGGGTTCCAGCGACAGCAGCAGGAGCAACCACGGGTGATCGCACGCGAGCATCTAAGGCAACAAGAGCAGCAGCGGGCCGAGCACAACCCCGAGGAGGAGGAAGAGTACGAGCAGCGGTCGCAGGCTTCGAACGTACATGAGCGACCACGCTTCGAGAAACCGAGGCTCGTGCTCTCGACGTGCACGGGGACCAACCCCGACGCTTGGCTGAACATGGCGGTGCAGTTCTTCGACTTAAATGAGATGCCGCAATGTGACTGGGTTCGGTATGCCGCGTACTATTTAGATGGTGAGGCCAACGTGTGGTGGCAGTGGCTCACGCGCGTGTATCGCGGGCGGCAACCAATCCGTTGGGAAGATTTGGAACGCGAGCTCCTTACGCATTTTGGGAACTCAGACTATCATAACCACGACGAGGCGCTGACTCGGATCCGGCAGACGGGGAGTGTACGCGACTACCATAAGGAGTTCGAGAGATTGGCGTGCCGGGTTCGCGGGTGGCCGGAGAGCGCGCTTGTTAGCGCGTTTGTTGGAGGGATTAGGTATGATCTCGCGGCTAAAGTGCGATTGGAGAGGCCG